TTTCTCTGTCCTCGTTTTGTCTGTATTTTAGTTAATTTCCTTTTCTGAGCTTGGCTATCAGAGGCTTCTGTACTAGCCTCCATGCCTGGCCGGGTCCGTTTTACCTACACAAATTTATAAAACATTAAAACAAAGAACAAATATCTTAATAAGAATAAAAGATAACCCTCTTTAGGTATAATATATGAATAATCTTGTATAATACAGTAAATTAGATAAGTAGTAAAAAGCAGAACCACTACAAAGATGTATTGCCAATTAATATATTTAGATATACACATATTTATTTTATAATATTTATTAATTTATTTATTTTCTAATATAATATAAATATAATATATATATAAACCTATACAATCAGGTAAGTAATATATTAACGTTAATGATATCTGTTTGTCGTTCCACAAATTTGATTATTATTTAAGACTAAAATTATTTGCGGAGGAGATTTGTATATGAAATGAACATTATGTATTACTTTAGATATGTATGTACATTATACATGTACCCTGTAAAAGAAAGTAGAAAAATTTTGGAACATCAGACCGAATTAGGAAATTTACCTATCAATTGATCTGGTTCATCAAAAAATATATACACTTGTTATAAATAATGCACAATAACACTGTTACTATATAGCGTTAATCATCGCAATAAGGCGGGTATAGAGTAAGTGTAATCATCGCCATTTATTAGGCATACTCTGTTACTATAGAGTAAATGTAATCAACGCCATTTATAAGACATACTCTGTTACTATAGAGTAAATGTAATCATCGCCATTTATAAGGCATACTCTGTTACTATAGAGTTAATGTAATCATCGCCATCAGGCATAATCTATTACTATATTGGAACATCAGACCAGCCCAAGTGCATGATTTGGTTCATCAAATTTATAAACTGTACTGAAATATGTTTCGTCTAGGAAACACTCTTACAGTTACTATAGTGTTTAACTAAAATATTCTGGGTCATTAGATTCCAAAGGTAAAATAAATCATTGAGGGAATCTAGAACATCAGAAGATATACTAAATAAATGCTGTATGACTGCACTTAAATGAAATAAAATATGTATATACACAAACTGAAAAATACCTGTACGGATCATGAGGTAAAATTTACTAGTAGAACTTTAAGCTAGTAAATCTACGTGTACGTAAGCCTCTAGAAAATATAAAAAAATTCTATGTACATGTAGCTATTGCCATATAGTATGATATACAGTTTCAAATCCTGATGATAATGATTTGATAAAGACATTATAAGTCTTGAGAGATAAGATATTTAAAAAAAAAATCTAGCAGTGTATGGAATGTATACATATCTTGATTTATAAATCCTTTGTTATACTGATAATGGCTGCTCTAACATTGTTGTACAGTTTTCTGTTCCCCAGGGGAGATAAGTGTGTGCCGTCTGCAGCAAATACCCTCTGTTGATTTGTTTCTGTCCAAAAGCCTTTCAATCGCCACAATCTGGAGTATCCTTTAGGCAAATAGGAATGTAAATGATGGTTGAATATGTCAACCTGACTGTTAAATAATTTGCAGTCCACCGGATATTTAAACAAAACACGTGGGGGTATTCTGTGTAATGATTGTAAAACGACCACATATTTCACTTTGTACACATTGTACAGTTGTTCCGTAAGAATGCATATGTCCTGTGCTATACGTTCTGGATAATTGCCCGTTTGGTAAAGGTCACATGTTCCTATCATTAAAAGCACAATGTCAGGTTCAAAACCCCTCACAATTTCCAACGAGCTGCTTCGAGCCAATTTCGACACGGTTGATCCTGGGAATGCAGAAAACTGCACCATGTAATGAGCTGGGTCCAAATTAAATGAATACGAAAGATCATGTTCATTCCGAATGAAAAGTTTTAAATGAGACACAAATGAATGACCATATAATAAGACCTTTGTTGTTGACATAGTTGTAGCTGTTCGGTTGAAGCGTCCCCGTTGACCTACTTCCTTTGTTTGAAAATTTTTGTCAACAAAAATCCTTCGCAAGTAGTTTAGATAAGTTTATATCCACGTAAACACGGTGAAATATAATACACAAAGACGTCGATGATTCAATTCCGCTGATTATTTAAATGTAAATGTAGAAAAACAAAAGTTATACACAATTTGATTGAGAGAAAAGCAAATGCGAGTTTCTTTGTTCACTGAGATACTCGAAGTGACGTAGGCTAAATATAAATGCACCGATTATCTGTCGGTAACGAAACTTCGGTATGCGGACCTCTTTCTGCAGTGCATAAGATATATGCGGATTTACAGAAAAGTAAAGTGAATGATATTAAGAATTATGTTGTCTTGCATATAATTAATTTTATGACACATAAAATACATTTATATAGGCGTTTCTTTTTCAGTTTTTAGAAAGGTCTTGTAACTATATGTATTCCAAGTACTTCTTCTAAATAATGAACAATAAATGCAATCTATATCAAATACATTTCGTTGTTTCAAACATACATTATGTTTTCTTACAAATCAATTATATAAAACCTTAAATATCTCTTAATGTGTTCATACGATGTCTTTCATTTGATAATTAATTTTTATGTTAGCTTTGTAAATAATATAAAATATTATTTCATTACACATTTAATTTTAGCACATTATTTGCAATTACCAAACAATTATATTTTTACAAAAGTTAATCAACTAGATATTTGATCATTCCAATTTGTATGTTGGTTAGAACTTTCTTCTAAAATATAAATTGTCAAATGATATATTAAATGATTTATCAAATCGTACTTTGATCCAAAATATACTTATATTTGTGAAGTACAAGTGTTGTTCTCTAATTAAGATTCATTGGAAACCAAATTAAAGTGTAACCAAATATAAATTTGTAATTTTCCGTTTTTTTCCTCATTTTGAGAATGAAAAGGCATTTAAAATAATATCATAATAAAGTACATTTTTTGAGATAAAGTCAACAATCTATCTTTTTAAAGTGTAACAAAAGATTATTTTGTAATTTTCTTTTTTCTGATTAAAAAATAAAATAAAACAATTATCATCATTTTATTTTCATTCATTTTAGTTCATCCACAACACGTGCAGTTCTGTATTAATCAAAATGATGCGGTTAATCAGTATTTACATTATTTTCGTTGAAGACTTTCAAAAAGAAATAACAATTCAAAGCGGTCTGTAATATTTTTGTAACAACTTTTTGCATTTTCATAGAAAGATGATTTGTATAAATGGATTAACTTTCTAAGCGGATGGTTAGCTGCACAAATTCTAGTTATTGTATCTTCGTGGGTAATTGAAATTTATAATAACGGGATATTTGTTCGTGTTGTGTTGTTGATTCAACAATCATTTCAATAAACAGTCAATTATCCATGCTACACATTTTTGTAAAATTTTGAAGCAATATCAACAATTCACATATAGCAAATTACTTTTCGCATAATCCTATCAAATCTCGTGTCTTCGTGGGTTATTGTTGCTGTTTCGTTGTTATTATTATTATTTCCAAAACAGTGGCGGATATATATTAAAAAGTTTCTTGAAAATGTAAAACAATTTTAATAATTGAGCATAGCAAATTATTGTTCTGGTACTCCAAAAGAAGATATTTCTCCAAATACGTGTTTGCACATATTACATCACGTTTTCTTCTCATAAAACCACATAAGTCATTTGCATTCCAAAAATTGAACATTTATATAACGAGCACGTTAAGCATTTACTACAAACAAACAAAGAACAAACCAATATAACGGTTTCACGATTTAAACAATCATAAAATTTACGAATGTATTTGATTTAAAACTAAATGATTTGCTATTGTATAAGTTTAACACAAATGTCTCATTTAGTAGTATCCTGACGTTGTTGTATAGTAATGTGATGTTGAAAGTGTGTTATTAAAGACTGTAGGTGCATTTGCATCTGATTTGAATTAAAAAAGATTTCTTTTCTGTAATACTGTAGTCATTTTCATTCTAATCAGCTTTACCATTCATCAGCACGGCCGATTTACAAATACAAATCCATTACATTGTTCTTTTTTATCTCTAAAGGACTGAAGGATATTACTCAGCATTAAAAGCTGTGCAATTTTTGCATTATCACTGTATAATTTTATTCTTTAGTCTTTTATTTTTTCTACATATAAAATATTATAGAAGATTATTACGAAGTTAACCAAACACACCAAATTATTTTACCTTGGTTTTGAAACAAATACTTATCGTTTTAGCTATTAAAATAGGTACATGTTTTTGTTTTATATCAACGTATTACATTTTTTGTTAGAATGTTTCTGCTATTGTTTCTTTGACAAAATGGTGTCGTGTTGGAAAAATATGAATAATGTTCTTGCTCGCTAAATTCTAACATAACATGTATAGATAATATGAATTGCTTCTCATATTTATCTGTACTAAAAGTGACACATAGTGTCGTGCCAATATTAAGCACATTAAGCTGTAAATCACATAAAGTCCGTCGAAAATCATATTTAGTCGTAAGCGTTTGTAATCCTTAAGCCAGATTTTTATATCTAATATAATCTAATCTCATAGAAAGCAACATATGCCAACATTATTGTTTGTAGAAAATATATATTTCAGTGCATTGTTGTAGAATTATGGACAGTTCGAGTTCAAAAGCGTAGGAATATACTCCGAGTGAATAATTACAATCATATGAACGATAAACCGTGCATAATTATTATACTACGATGCAAGAAAGGTTAATATCTATTTCCATTGTAACATATAACAAACTAGAAAATTAATTAAAAAAAAACAAAAAACATCGGACTATCATTTTTTCTGACATCATTTGATTTATTGACGTCATATGAGGTCATATAACCTGTCAGTATGCTATACATATATGGGGTAATACTGCACGTGATTGCTCTATATGTTTGATAGGAAATAGTATGAGTGTGTTAAAATATCATTTATATATATTGATACATATATAACATAGAACATTAAAGTCGTTCATATTAGATATAAGCTTTATTGATATTCATTTTACAGAAGTTTAAAACAGATTTAGTTGCCTTTTACTATCCCGAACGTCTCGTACAGCTGCAAAATATAACAAAAGCACAGTATTTGGCGCCATAATGTTATGTCATAAATTGTTAAGGAAACTTGAGATAAGGTCAAAGTTAAATAAACTATTATTTAATTATATTTCTAAGCTGTTTACATATTTCTGTACTCGTACATTAAATTCTATTCTAAATTTAAGTTATCTGAACTAATTTTGAGTGAATTTTGAGAAAATAAAAATGATATGTCGACTTTTCTAGTCCATTAGTGCGATGCGCTTTTTGTACATTATTTCCATCATGAATGAGAACCGAATAGTACATCCAAACCCGAGAACATCCGCACATGGTATAGTTTCCTTGAGGAAGGCAATTGCAGAATGGCGTTTAAGCAAAAAATAGAAATAGAATATTTTCTACAAAATGAACCGTTTGTATTCATGCTTCATGATTTGCCAATGTTTTGCCATTGTAATGTGACAATCTTATTTGATATATGTCAGGAAAGCTCATTTTTTTATTTGATTTGCATATTGGCGGCATACATGTAAAATCAAAATCTGGCAGAAGATCGTTACTTCCATATTAATGATAGCTGTTATTATTAAAGGGTGAAAATGTTTCTTCTATTGATAAAATAAGTATACATACCTTGGAGTAATATAACTCTAGCTCATGTATTTCTATTTCGTTATCTTTTGCTGAAAGAAAATTAAGGACACCGAATTAATGCTCAACTTTTATACGTTAGCTCTAATAATTTTATAATGATTTATTTTGTCACTATTTACAAAGAAGAAAAAAACCAATGTCTATAAACACTATTTCCGGACAACTTACATATAATACTTCAGCGTTCCCGGCTTTGAACTACACGTATATATTAACTGTAAAAGAAACATGCTTTAAATATAATAGATCTATATACCAGTAAGAACATAACACACCCTTTTCTATTTCATCTATTTTCTAGAGAAACACATTAAAACATGAGAAGTCTGATCGCAATTTTGTCGTTTTTTTTTCAAATCATCTCGAACTTTAGATCAAAATTGTGTCGTAACTCCATTGCAGCATTATCATTCCGACGCATGCGGGAGGTAAAGCTTCAAATAAATACTGCCTAGATCCTTTGTTTAACGAGCAACACCTTTCAAGTCTTGATTTCTTCTTTCAAAAAGTCAAACAACTTCGATTCGTGCGCCAAAGCCCTTGATTTGTATTATGTAACTTAACTGGATTGGTCTTGTTTCAAATTAGATGGTCTCTCTCAAATAAAATCGATAAATATAGGCCACATTTAAAAAGCATTTTATTATTTTTTCCGATTGTATCATGTTGCTTATTCAAATGATGTAAAGATTATATTTCATCTGATACTTATGCGAATATTTGAATTTCATCTGGTATTTTTTAAAGTCATAAAACGCCTTACTCAGGTCATGCCTAGTGAATGAACATTTTTTTCGTTTCATACAGGTATTTCGTGTGCATCTAGCTTTTGTGTAACCTTTCCTTATTTACCTAGATCATAGGAAGCAAAAAAAAAGCAATCCAAAACCGACGTTTTCACATAAGCTTACTGTTAACCAAGTTTCAGTATAATTTATCATTCTAAAACGAAAACTATATGGCTTACGCCTACGTGGTAAATTATACACACACAAGCTGCACATCGTCTTTAAAAAATGCAGAAACACACCGATCAGACCGATAATATTTTTTACCAAACACAACAGACCAAATAAACTTACATGTATGAAATATAACGTTGGATTTAGATACATGTACACAAGTTATATAACGAAGAGCAATGCTTCCTATGCCGCAATAAAAATCTATAATGGATTGTTGTCATTGCCCTACTCATACATTCTTTTGTCTTTTTTAGGATCAAGAGCAATCTTACGTGCACGATCTATTTCATTGAATTCTTCCTTCATATCTGGCAATTCTAAACAACCGTCCTGATTGTGGTCAAGGTGCTGAAACATATGCCACTCAAACGTCAACATATTTCCTTGGTGATAAGCAAAATATTCGTCCATAGAAACGCAATCATTTCCTATCATATAAAAAGTTTGTTTGCATTAATTTAAGACTATGTATTGTAAATAAATCGATCTAGAATTACGCAATTGAAAAAGAAATAGCAAAATATGGCATTATTAACACGGGCTCAAAAGTTCAATGGAATCATTCTGTTTTTCCGTATTGTCTGACTACAAATTCTGGATAACTTCTAGACAGATATTCCGAGGTTTTGTTCACAAACTGAATGTATCTTTGTCATTAAATTAAATGTTAATCAAAAATCTAAATAGACACGCAGCTTATTGAAAAATAGAATATAGATGATTTTCAGGTTTATGTTAATATGATTTCGTAGAAAAAAACTTTAATTATATTATATTTTATACTTGTATTTGTATTCACGTTTGCCAAGTAATTATACATGTTTATTGTTTGTAAGTATGTGAATAACACCATTTGACACAAACTTATTTTCAGAATATTACCGTCTTTGTCTTGTTGCTCCTGAAAATCATCAAATTCTTGTTGACTAATGACCTTATCGTCGTTTTGATCCATTAGTTCAAACTCCCTGTCCAATTCAAAATCAACCTGACCTATTGTAAATTTCGTAGGGCTCTGTGCTAAAATACATCTAAAAAATAATGAATACAATAATAATAAAATTTGTTGTTAGGCTATTAAATATGTATAATGAATTAGATTAATGAGGTGATCACGACATTCTTAAAACAACCTAAATGATACTTAGGTATATGATTGTTTCAAAAGTCGTCTAAAGTTTATGTAACTTAAGATTATCATATTCTTGATTTCCCATTTTATTTGGTAATTATTGACGATTTAAGTTAAACTTTGTATCATTTATATACAACTACAACAGCACATATGTTGTAATCAGTAAAACATGAGTTTTACTTATTCCATCTCAATCTAACTTTAGAAGTGGTATCAACAACCAAAGATTCAAAATAAACTCAAACAAAACCAATTTGAAAGACAAACATGTCAGAAAAGGAATAGGTTAATTGGAAATGGATTGGGTTCAGAAAGCCGGTTATATTTTTGTCTATTAATAGTTATATCTTTATAAAAAACAAATTCTGGATACAATTTCTGAACATTTTTTAAAACATAAGGAAGGTTTACCATCTCGATTTGGAAACGTACATTGTAAACTACTATATTTTTACTTTTTAACACTAAATGTAACAAATTAACATATTCATTCATACAAATGTATCTTAACTCGAGATTTTTAAAAACAGAAATAAGGAATTCATAATCTAACAGCCAAATTGAAACAGAAAAACACTTGTCTGCGGACAGTACACTTGACTTTTCTCAGTACAACATAGTTGAGGAAAGGCATCATAGAAAAGGGGAAATCATTCTGCAAACATTCTCAGCAGTCTAACCTGATTGTGACAATTTTTCTACATTTTGGGTGATAACTTTTTAACGTTTTTTTTAAAAAAAAGCAACAAATATTTCAAGTTAAACAAATTGAAGTATTTAAATAAAGTGGCTTTCAAGATTATCTACTACTGAGGAATTCAGTTCAAGTTTGGTAGTGAACATGTACTCAAATTTTATAGCGAACATCTTAAATACTTTTTGACAAATATCCTACTAAGAAATCAAAAAGAAGACATATCTGAGAAAATAATTATAAAGTTATCTATTGTTAAGAAATACATTCCAATTTAAAAAACTAAACATGTTTTGAACAACTTAGAAATTGACTTAAGAAGCAAACTTATTAGGTAAATTTGTAAACTGAATTTGAGAATAGTTCTGAAATAGTGGTATATGTTGATAGTGAACATGTATATGTATCAACTTTGAGGTGAATAACTTTGATACTTTCTTTGACAATGAATCGGAACAAAAAAGACAAAGCAAAAATCTAGCTAAGTTGAAAAAAGAACATAAATTTTATTAAAAAATTGTAGGAGTACATGTGCTTTTCGGATGGGATCCTTTTATGAATGATATACGGGCCTTGATATGAATTGTACATTCTGGTACAACTTTTATGAATCTATGCGTAACTTTTGTTTGTGTAATAAATTTATCATACTTGGATTTCGATTAATTTTTCTGTTTATGTAAAATATATAGACGGAAGGAGGTAATGAATCAATAGCAAACTGCAAGAAAACCAATTTACATACAACATTAGTTTTTCAGTAACTTAAGAAATGTTGAGTACCAAAATATTCCGTAAAAATATCATCTGTTACGAGTACGAACTATATGGTTTGAATAAAAAGCGCAAAAATATAAAAGTTGTTAATGAATATGATTTGTATTTTTAAAGGATACCTGCTCGAGCAAAGAAATATGATGAGGTTCCAATTCATGTTGATCCTGAAAAAATCAATCATTCAATCAAAAACTAAATAATTAAAATCTTCAAATTAATAAAATATTTATTGTAAGGTAATATAGTAAATAAATTTACCTTTATATGCGGAACAACTCATTTAAAATAAGTTAAGACACAAAAGATTTTAGAAGGTATATTAATAAATTAAATCTTACCTTCACGAGTGTTCACAAAAAGTGATTATGGAAAATGAAGACACTATCTACTTTTAATTCAGATTGTACAAAACTCCGCCCCCTTTACACCAATTTCAAACCAAATTAAAGCAGAGCCGTTTTACAGGGCTGTTCATAAAGTTTCAACTAAAAATAAATTGTATTATTTTATTTTTTATACTACATTCTAACACTCCACGTGATTTTGTCACTATAGACAAAGAAGAAGAAAAAAACCGATGTTAAACTGCCGATAAATATTGGTTAGGGGCTTCTTGTATATGCGGCTATCATGTCTTGTATATGCGGCTACAAAGCCTTTTAAAGCAACAATAAAAAGCATTTTCATTATATTTTCAGTGCTTATAATGTTTTCTTTTCAAACAATACCATAATAATATCTCACATACACCAATAATTGATCCATATCAGTTAATTAATATTTTGACAAAACGGCGCCAGTCCGTGAGCAGCGTAATGACGTCATCCTAAGTATACAACTCATTCATAAACGCTGACATTATTTCATATATACAAGAATGATAAATGGGGCACTGATGTAAACACAATACAATCCATTCTAAGACATAAGTTTTTTATTGTTGAAAACTTGATAAAATAACGTTTTTCTTATTATTTCTTTTGTTTACTAATTTCTATATTTTAGCAACAGTAGGGTGCGAAAATAGAACAGCGTTATACGAAAATCGGTACCGGAAGTTATTACCGCTTGAAAAAATAACAAAAGTGATTTTCCTTATTTTATCGTTTTTGAATCGAAATAATATCGGTCTTAACGGTGTTTATTGGCTATTTAACACCTGTTTTGTCGTTTTGACGCGCAAAATTAACCACTCATACCTACAGCCTTCGTGGTAAATTCATAAACATCAAAACTCCAAACCGGTGTTCAATAGTACCTTTATAGAACTTGCTAAACTTATTTCTTTCAGTACATAAATGTTTATACTAATTCACTTATGCTTGATCCGAAAATGGAATTGATATGCAGGAGCGCGTGTTAGTCTTTGACTGCTGTTCGCCATAGACACTTCGTCGATGAAAGAATGGAAAATTCTCACCAAGGTTCAAACATGAAAATGCAAAAACAATTTTGATAATAAAGGGACAGCGCGTGACTTCATTGAATAAAAATTCCTTGTTTTGTCAAATTAGTTGAAAGATCGTAACAACAATAAACGCAACGCATGCACTTAAATCACGCTATCTTCATTTTTTTTTCTGTTAATCATATTAAAGTGAATTGGTCAGAACTGATAGGTTGGTAGTAAGGTAAAGATTAATGTTGAAAGTATTTAGTAATAAGAAAACAATTATTAATTAATGGATATTGCTGGTTAGTGTGAGATACATGATCCGATAAGACATATTTATAAGCAAATAATAAATTGTTCTGGAACAATGCTCATTCTAAATTAATTGGAATTTTTTCCATGTATTTTTAAGAAATACTTAAAATATATCCGAATGATACATTTCTGTTGCTTTTTATCAATATCTAAAATACTAAAATACTGGAAATGTGTCCATTGTAGACCAATTAACTCATAATGTCGGTATGACATAGACAAAAATATTGCTAAGTTATTATTAAAAAGCTGTATTTCAATGCTCAGCATCATCGAGTCTCATAGGTTTATGAGTGGATGTCCGTGCAAGTTACTAATATATTCAAAGTCATTGATACTTCAATTTGCATTAAATGTATCATGTCTTGTTTAACTTCTTTACTAGTAATTCTTAAAATCAAGAGGTGCCCATTTCTACCTTCTGTGGTACTAGGCAAATCTTGGTATGTATTAAAATTTGAAAGACTTTTTAAAAAGAATAAACTTTTAAACAACCCTTAAAATCGCCCCCCCCCCCAATACCGACAAATTAAACTTCCGTGTACATTTCTGTTTTTTTTTCCCCCGATAACAGTAAGGTTATCTTTTGCTGACGTCAGTCATTCAAGATGTTTTGCATAATAATACTTTAAAAGGTCGGCAAAATAAGAAAATAGACCAGTCAAGTACTTCCCGAGAGACTTGAAGACAAGGTATTTATTTCATCTTTTTTTTTCAATTTGGTTACATAGACTTATCATTTTATAACTAAATTTATCATCAGGTACTTTTTAACACATTTTTTTTATTTGCCGTGTAAACAATGGCGTATGAAGTGTTGCAAAATTCTATAAAAAATATTTGATGAACAAAATATATGTTTGTTCTAGAAATATCAATGAAGTCCAGAATGCTTAAACATGGAAGCTGTTGTTGTCTTGATATAGTGATGGATAAATACGTACATTGTTTTCATCAGCCCCTAAACAAAATAAACGGGAGGACTCGGTGTTTAATCAGACGAATGTACAATATAGAATATTCAGCAATACACACAATCAATGATATCAAATAGTAAAATACTATCAATAATATTACGGAAGGGGGAATCAAATGGGTTGACTGGGACGATGTAGATATACAATAGAAACTACAATATTCATTAATATATAGAGGGAATCAAATGGTTGGGATAAGGAATCATATAAATGAACATCAGAGAGTAGTTAAGGTAAAATCAGAGAATATACAAAAGTAAATTAGTTCGACGAACCCCTCATGAGCAAAGCGTTGTTTCCCTGATAACCAGTGAGATTCAGCAGCGGATTCAAAAGTGTTTCTAAAAGTTAATTGCTGCTTTCATTCATAATCGATTTTAAATACGTTCTGTATAGAGCAACACAGAATATACTAAACGACAGAGAATATATTATGAAATATGTAACAGGGGGCTGATATAAATGTACATCAGAGAATTAACTATCAACAATCAACATATCTGTTGTACTTCTATATAAGTCCGAAGCATATTCACCCCACCCCTCAAAATATTTGAAATTATTTTCTCTGTCGTACATTCATTTGATTATTTCTAAATGTGAATAAGTAAAATATATGTTTTTAAATCTATATAGCGCCTAGTTAGCCACTTTGATCTTTCCTGTAATTGTTTGGATAAAATACATTGATTATTGTCCATAAGTTTTTTTTTATTTTCCACGTTATTTTATTTCAACTTCATCAACTTTATTACAACATAAATATATTTTTTGAACAAAATTTAATACACTTTTGCAACCCTTCACGCGCCCGAGCAAACCTTAATTTTGAGTTTCAATGTAAATATGAATACAAGAATTTGTTAATTGATCATTGTAAACGCTTTTTACTTTTTCAGACAAAAATGATAGCTTTGGTTATAATCTCCCTTATCAGTTGTTCTGCAGCTCAACGTCCGATTGAAGAAAAACTTCGTCTTCTTGAGCCGATTCTTATGCTGACAGACGAGTTGTTAGAACACCAGGGTGATGACAAATGCGTTGAGAAGCTGTTTTGTCTTCTCGAGACAGAAATCGCTCGGGATATTGACAATCCGCTCATGCATGTATCGAGATTTCTAACCAATACAAGAAATGACACCGATCCATCCGATTTCCGAAAAATAGAGGCTCTAATACAACGATACCCACATGTTTCAAAGATGTTGGATTCAATCCATCTTGGACAGTCTAGTGGTGAGAGCACCGTGTGCAGCGCAGCATTCTCAACATGTGAAGCAGATCCATACGCAATGATCGAAGCAGCGAGGAAGTATGACGATATTAATGTTGTTGAATTCACAAAAAATTCACTGCAACGAAGAAAGGCCTGCACATACATCAAAGCAGGTTGTACCGGTCTTAAAGTTGGTTGCGGAATATGTGCTATTTTTACATACGGAACCTGTGGCTTTGCTTGTGGCGGATTAGTTGGTGCTGCGTGTACAGCGTCATCGCTGACCTGTACAGCCATTGGAGTTGCACATATTGTTGGTTAAATTTTCTGTTACAAACCGTAAGAGTAAAATGATGAAATAATAAAAGTATTGTTATCATCACTAGTAGTTTATCGTTAATTTTTCTGTATACTGAAGCTTCGACTTGAAAATCACAATATTCCTTTTAAAACTTATTTATGTCCAGAACGTTTTTTTTTCTCTTGTTTGCAGTACTAGAAATTGCACATTTTTGGGCTCTTATGCACAATTCAGCAAACATGGGAGTAACTTGCAATCGGGCTAGGATGTCAAATGCTTAAACCACAAAGAAATACATACTAGAAAAAGTAATAGGAATCATTAGAAAAAGCCAAAACCGCAAAAAAAATGCTGCAGGCGACCAGTAATTGAGTATGTCCATAGACAGTGGTAAGGGCAAGTTACCCTCCACGCACCCTGACACCGGCTTAATCAACATTTAAAAATGTACTGGTATATGGCAAATTTTCGAATTTAGAAACACCTTTGTATGTGTTTAAATGACGGTTATGATATCATGAAAATTTCAATTATATCCTTTCGTGATCATTTTTAAACGTTATTAGTTTAGTAACAAAATAAACAATATCTGTCATCTCCTAAATGATTTGCAAATTCCTGGCATGGTTTAGCTGCGTAACAAGTTTCTATTTAAAAAAAACGCGTTTATGTTTTACGCATAGTTTTAGGTTTAGCATTATTTATTTATTATTATTTAAGTTTCTTTGTTAAAGAAGTATGCTTTAAGCTTATTTGATCACTAGTGAGTTCGTTTCCCGAAACAGTCCAGTATAGAGTTGATATAAAGATTAACTTGATTGCCAGTTTTAAAGTAAACAGAAACATTTTTAATTGATAGTATGCCCATCCAGGTTGAAATGATGATTGTGCAAGTAAGAGTCAAAAACTTTTCATTTTGCCATGAGTAAGTTCCTGTTCATATTTTTCTTCGCACTTACAAGGATAATAGATTACCCATGTACCATGTGATGAAAGGAGCATTTTGATTTTTGTCTATGATAAAAAAGTAAAAGAATACCCCGTCGTACAAATCAGATAACCTTTAACAGACTTTATCAAACGAGCCTGCCACATTTTCAATTTTGTCGTTTTGATCGTTCTTTAGGGGTTGTGTTTTTCCTTTATGTTTTGAAATATAACACTCTGAAATGATTGATAATCAGCATGAACGGTACTCAAACAATCCTCAGAAGTTTTACGATAATTATAAGGTAAGCGAGTTAGACATGATAAGTGTTAACACCAGTTTAATGATTACGAAAATAAAGAATCATTTGGTTACCTTGATCGTATAAAGGTTAAATGACAAACATACAGTGAAAGTCACAAACATACAGAGGATATCTGTTTCCCAAAATAAACACATCAAAGAGTAAATAACAATTGCAGTATTTTCTTGAAAGGCGTAGCAACGAGCTTAAAATAACTGCAGGTGTTACTTTATGAAATATTATTTGACTGGTTTTTAATTTATGCGTGTTCTCATTCTTGACGTCATGTTGACATCATGTTGAAAAATAATACAAATTTTCAAAATGATGTGTGCAAAATTTCATTTTCCTCACGTAATCACGTTGACTTAATGACGAACTTTATATTCATTTATTGTGCCACCGCGATGCGGTGGCATATAGCGATTCGCCTGTGTGTGTGTTTTGTGTGTGTGTGTTCGCCCTGTCCTGTTTTTGTTTGGGGTTCGCCTGGGCTCCTTGCCGTTGGTTCTTGTTACTGGGTCATATGGGGTTTGCGTTCATTGAACGCCGCCTTTCCTTGTTGATCTTGTTTATCATATTTGTATGTATATGTGTATGTTTGTGTGTTAAATAGATTATATAGTGAACTTAAAAAAATCTTCTTGTGAAAACAACTAGTCCAATTTCAACAAAACTTGGCAAGATTGATCCATGAGTGAAGGGCTTTAAAAATTGTTCAAATAATTTTATTCCATGCAAAAATCTGGTTGTCATGGCAACCAAAAGGAATTATAAGAATAAATTTAAAATATTTTCTTGTAAAGAACCATAAGGCCTAGAACATAGATATTTTGCATAAGGTATTGTCTGGTAGACCTCTACCAAGATTGTTCAAATTATAGCTCTGGGGTCAAACTTGGCCCCGTCCCGGGGGTCATTGATTCAAGCAAACAAGCAAATTCGTTGAATTTATATCCCCCGCCGAGCACTGGTTATTACTAACACAACAACTGAACAACTTTATTTATATATCTATCATGGCATAAATAGTAATTTTCTTTGTTCTTGATTAATATTCAGGGCAATAACAGAGCCATAACTCTGTGTTAAATAGTAATATCTGGACATGCCAAGGAGATGTAAATTGCCTTTGTGCATCCATGGTTGCCATAAAGTTTTGTTGAAATCAATACAGCAGTTGCAAAGAAATAGCAATATTGCTCTTTATGCATACAACATAACTAATCAAGGGCCATAACTCTTTAATGAAGGGTCTGGTCTGAACAACTTCAACAAGGCAACAATATGCACATCTCCTGATTCTCCTCTTGGTATTAATGGTTCCCATAAAGTTATTGAATTCCAGCCAGTAGTTGCAGAGAAGTTGCGCAGAAACAATTATTACTCTATATGCATACTGCATAACTAATCAAGGGCCATTACTATGACTTAAAGTGTCTGACAGGAACAAGGCGATGATATCCGCATCTCCTCTTTGTATTGAAGGTTCCCATAAAGTTCGCTCCATATGCATACTGCATAACTAATCAAGGGCCATAACTCTAAGTTAAAGTGTCTGATCGGAACAAGGCGATGATATGCGCATCTCCTATATGTATTGAAGGTTCTCATAAAGTTTCATTGATTTCCAGCCAGTAGTTGCAAAGAAGTAGCGCGGAAACGAATATTGTTCTATATGCATACTGCATAACCAATCAAGGGTCATAACTCTTAGTTAAAGTATCTGACCGGAACAAGCTGACGATATGCGCATCTCCTCTTAGTATTGAAGGTTCCCATAAAGTGTTGTTGAATTCAAGCCGGTAGTTGCAGAGAAGTAGCGCGGAAACGATTTTGTCTCTATATGTAAACTGCATAACTAATCAAGGGCCATAACTCTGAGTTAAAGTGTCTGACCGGAACAAGGCGACGATATGCGCTCTGCTCTTGGTATTGAAAGTTCCAATAAAGTTTTGTTGAATTCCAGCCAGTAGTTGCAGAGAAGTAGCGCGGAAACGATTTTTACCTTATATGCATACTGCATAACTAATCAAGGGCCATTACTCTTACTTAAAGTGTCTGACCGGAACAAAGCGACGAAATGCTCATCTCTTTTTGGTATTGAAGGTTCCCATAAAGTTCCGTTGAATTCCAGCCAAAAGTTGCAGAGAACAAGTCCGGAAACGAAATTCGGACGGACGGACGGACGGAAGAACGGACATACTCACAAAATGGTACTTATGTGACTTTTCCTTTGATTTTTTTACCATTTTTAGTCTCACAAGGCTTAATAAAAGACACACAAGTAAAAACGGGATGAATATGATCAAACAGAATTTACTGTTACCCATTGTTCACCAAGTCACACAAGTACCTCTGGGTTCAAACAGACGGACGGACGGACGGACGAACAACGCCATAACAATATCCCCCTCCCGATTCCATCGGCGGTGGATAAAAAAATAAAATACCTTCTTGTCTGGAGGTACAAGGCTTATAGCTATGATATTTGGTATATGATATCATCTATAGGTACTCTACAAAAGTTGTTCAAATTTTGCTTGTAGTGACAAAATAAGCCCTGCACTTGGGGTCATAGGTTTTCCTAATATGTATATAGTAAACACTTTTTAAAAAAATCATCTTCTCGAAATTGATAAATGCTAGATGTTAGATATTTTGCATGAAACATTTTGTAGTGAACCTCTACCAAAATTGTTCAAATTATATCCCTGGGGTCAAAAGGTACAAGGATTAGAGGTTTGTAATTTGGTAAATATTATCATCTATAGGTACTCTACCAAAGTTGTTCAAATCTTGCCCCTAAGATCAAAATTATCCCCGCCCCGGGGGTCATAGGTTTTCCTTATATGTATATAGTAAAAACTTAAAAAAAAAACATCTTCTCTAAATTGACAAAGGCTAGAGGTTAAATATTAGGCATGAGACTTTGCGTAGTGAACCTCTACCAAGATCGTTCAAATTATAGCCCTTGTGTCAAAATTGGCCCGGCCCCGCGGGTCATTGATTTTAACTATGTACAAATAGAAAAAAAATCAAACAATCTTCTTGTCTGAAGGTACACGGCTTAGAGCTTTGATATTTGGTATATAATATCACTCAAGGATCCTCTACCAAAGTTGTTTAAACTATGCCCGTAGTGTTAAAATTGGCTCTGCCACAGAGGCGATAGTATTCATTATATGTATATGGTAAAAACTTAAGATAACTTCTTTTCTGAATTGACCAAAGCCCAGAAGTTAGATATTTGGCATGAGACTTTGCGTAGTGAACCTCTACAAAGATTTTTCAAATTATAGCCCTGGGGTCAAAATCGGCCACACCCCGGGGTTATTGATTTTTACTTTCATGTGCATATAGTAACAAAAAATAAAAAAAAATATTGTCTGAAGGTAGAAGGCTTAGAGCTTTGATATTTGGTATATAATATCATCTATGGGTCCTCTACAACATTTGTTTAAACTATGCCCCTAGTGTTAAAATTGGCTCTGCCCAAGAGGCGAAAGTTTTCCTTATATGTATATAGTAAAAAACTTTAAATATCTTCTTCTCTGAATTGAAAAAGGCCAGATGTGAGATATTTGGCATGAAACTTTGCGAAGTGAACCTCTACCAAGATTGTTCAAATTAAAGCCCTGGGGTAAAAATTGGCCCCGCCCCGGAGGTCATTGATTTTCACTATGAACATATATAAAAAAAATCTTTCTTATCTAAAGGTAAAAGGGGCTTAAGTTTTGATTTTGGTGTTAATATCATCAAAGGGTTTCCTTTTATTTAAAGTGGTTTAAACTATGCCCCTAGTGGTAAAATTGGCCCTGACCCAGAGGCGAT